TTGTGGATGGCATACCGTCTGACCAAGACTTTGTTTTTTTTTGCACAACAACAACTAAAAAAACAACAACTAATTTTACAGTCGCACAAAAGACAAAGACACACAAACACACGCATAGAAAGTGAGAGAGAGAAAGCGGTGCAGAACCACAAAAGTAACGCGGAAAACACATAAAAAGAGAAATTGAAAAGGAAGAAAAAAAAGAAAATAACTTTCGTATAGCTTGTGATTACTTTTGCGTGATGAAGTTGGTTCGGCGGGCGCGAAAGAGCATTCGCGAGCGGCGAATGAAGGCGTGCATGCGGGATCTTAGCGCCAACCTCGAGCGGGTGGAGATGCGTGTATATAAACAGCAGAAGCACCAGCGGCAGCAGCAGCGGCGGGTGGCCGGCCTCCGCCCGGAGAATTTCGTCCCGCCGGATGTACTCCGCGGAGAGATGAATGCGGAGCTGCACGAGATTGAGTGTAGACTCCACCGCGAGGCGGGACTCCCACCGCCACCGCCACTTCATCTGCAGATGCGGGGCGATAGAAAACACGACACTCAACGGCCAGGCACACGGCGCATTGGCTTTGTCGAGTTTGGCGCAATCGCACAGACCGTAATGCAGCGCCACAGTTGTGCCTGCTAAGGGACTCCTAAAAGAATCATTCTGTTACGTGTAAAAGCAACACCACAATCACAGATATGAAAAAGGAGAAGATTAAAAAAAAAACAAAAAAACAAAGATGCAGTTTGTTTTTGTTCGAGTTTCTTCTTTGGTGGTTGCTGCATTGCTGCATATTGATTGAATTTCGCATGTTTACCTTTCCTCTTTTTTTTTTTTTTCTTTATTCTTCATTTTCTCTTGTGCGAACAACAATTATAATAACAACATATCCGTCGTATTTTGCTTCTTTCTTTCTTTCTTTCTTTCTTTTTTAAGGGGTATTTGCTAGGAATATTTACATTTACATCTTAAACAAACCATGTCTAAAGTCATTTCTCTGATTGAGGTGGCAAAGCACAGCAAGGAAGAGGACCTCTGGCTTATCATAAACAAGAAAGTATATGATGTCACAAAGTTCGTCGACGCCCACCCTGGTGGTGTTGATACTCTAACTGCAGCAGCAGGAAGAGATGCCACTGATGACTTCAATTCTGTCGGTCACAGTGACTCAGCAAAGGAAGAATTGAAGAAGTATTACATTGGCGAGTTAGATCCAAACGATTTTGCAGCTCTCAAGCAACCTGTACATGGCTCCAAGAGCAGTTTTTCAGGACTTGCAATTGTATTTGTACTCATCGCCATTGTTATCTATCTCATCTTCTCTCCATAATTAAAGATTTCTTCTTTTTTTTGCATTGGTTTTTTTCTTCCATCAGGACATTTTTTTTTCTTTTTCTACGTCTTGACTGTACTACAGTGAAAACTGTTTAAATAAATTCCACAAGAAAGACTCGTAAATTGGTATGTTTATTTCTTTTTTTATTATTATTTCGAAGTAGAGGGTTACTCGGATGTCGCATCCCACATAAAAGGAAATGTCAGTATTTGCATTTCCCTACTTTGATAACCATCATATATTTCCTTTCTGGGATATCCATTATACATATTTTAATCCAACCTTTTTTTTTTTTCTTTGTTTGTTTATTTTTCTTCCTCGGGGGTTGAGGCGCATAATATCAAGCTTGCTCACGGGGAGTGTTTTGTGTTGGGTAAGAAAAAAAAAGAAGGTAAAAGGGAATAGCTTGACTTACAGAGTCTGTTGGATAGTTTCTTTCGTTTATTCACAAGCGTATCCATCCATCTGTGTATACTTGTGTATATTAAGAGAGAGAGAGAGAGGAATTGCGTGGGTGTTGGAATAAACGAGGGTAATTGATTTAATTGCAGAATGCCAAAACCGATTAAGAGGGCACCTGATGCAGCTGAAAATGCTTTTATGGGGAAACTAAAGAAGGAACACCTTGAAGGTATCAACTTTTCTTCCAGAAGTATACCTCGAACAGCAGAGGAAATTGAGAAGGCGTACGCTGAAGCTGTAAAGAAACATCCATTCCATGATAACGCAGACCACACTGTTGATTTTTATGGTGCCAGCGTTTTCAGAGACTCTAAAGGAAAAGTTTGTGGTGTCTTGCTGCCTGGGGCCCTTCCAGCGTTCGCTGCTAGCATGGCAGCAAATGTTTTGCGTCCTGCAGCAAGTAAAACTTCTCTTCGATCAAATATGTATGGGGGACAATCACCACTTAGTGGTATCGCTGGATATTTTGACTACCGAGGATCCCCTGTGGAGTTGAAGTGCCGTAAAACATCTTTTACATGTGAACATATCCAATCTTGGCCTGACGTTTTCCCTATGATTGATTATATCAGCGCTGTTTACAAGGCTATTTTCCCAAAGCAATGGGCTGCACAAAATGATGCAATTCCTGATGTTGTTCGTATTCATGGATCTCCTTTTTCTACCTTAACTATTAACCAGCGTTTTCGCACAGCCTCACATACAGATGCCGGTGATTTTGATATGGGTTATGGTCTATTGGCCGTACTTGAGGGTAATTTTAAAGGTCTCTCTTTGGCGCTTGATGATTTTGGTGTGTGTTTTCGCATGCAACCAAGAGATGTTCTCCTCTTCAACACTCATTTTTTTCATTCGAACACAGAACCTGAAATAAATAATCCTAATGATAATTGGGATCGTTTAACGTGTGTCTTTTACTACAGAGCAGCGTTAGGAGAACCAGGTTGTGTTGCAGAGTACGCACGTCGCCTTGCTCATGCTAAAGAGATTGGAGCTTCGCCACCTCCTGTTGTAGATACTATTGTTCAGAAAGATAATGGAGATAATTTCAATAAACCGGCACCAGTTTTTTCTTCTTCACTTTCACCATTTAACGGAGCAGCAGGAATCTGTTGTTTGCGAAAATGTGCCTCTAAACTTTTGCGGTTGCATGAATTGCTACTGGGAAAACCAGAATTAGAGATTCTCTTATTTGGTGAACCTCTATTCACTAATGATGGTTTACCACATCGACCAATGGAGCAACTAATTCCGGTACATCCTCCAGTTGTCATTAAAACGCCAAATATAGGATGGTGTAGTGATACAAGTACCCTTTTGAAACTCGCCAAAGAAAAACAGTACCTTTTTGAAGAAAAAAACTTGGAAAATGAAGTTGGACCAGAACTCATGAAGATATGGATGCGAAGTCGAAATCTTTGGTTAAATCTTGTTAAAATAGACTGGGATCGACTGTTGCAAAATAATCCAGATCGTACCAATTTTACATGGAATAATACCTCAGCAATGAATACAGCCTTTTTTGACCTTTGTGAAGTGGCAAAACAAGTGATGTTGGGATTACTAAACAAGGAAGCTCCATCAAAGGAAGAGGAACTCTCTTTTTGGGTTTTGTTTGCAGCACATTTGAATTACGCTTGTGTTCATGAAAATGGTATGCCGTGTGAAGCCATAAGTATGCGTAAACTAAATGTTAAATTGAAGGATTTTCACTTTGGCGGGACCAGATATTTAAAGGACATGCCACCTGAGGAGCAGCAACGACGATTGGAGAGACGAAGACAGATTGAAGAGGCACGCCGTAATGGTGTCTCTGCGCGTGAGAAACAGGTAAGTGGATGGTTGCAGAATGATTCCTTTGACTATCAACAGGAAGATAGAATACTCAATTTTAAGAAAAATGGATGGATCTCTCCAGAAGAAAATGTACGAAACCTAAAGCTAAAACCATGCGAGGAGACTACAAAAGCCACTGGTTTAACAGAACATATTAATCTTCTTGTTGTTTTACCCCGACCTGCACCACCAGGACGATGCGCAAAACCAAAAAAACCTTCAATGACTTTGGAGGAAGTAAAGCGACTGATGATGAATCCTGCCGCTCAACGTCTATTAGCGGGTGAGTGTCGTAACGTTCTCCCTGCGTCTCCTCTCACCTTCAACGATGTAACAATTACTTTCATCTTTGATGGTGATGAAATTGGTGATTCTCATTTTGATTTCATTATTCTTCAGCATGTAATTGCTGCTATTGAATCTGATGAGGAGGCTGAGTTACGTGTGAATTACTGGGCCTCACATGCCAAGCATTGTATTTTTCTCATAGAGACAGATCTTCTAGATCGTCGTCATTACGTGCTACAGAATGAGGTGCGGGTGAAGTACCAAGAGGTGGCTGAGAACTGTTTCAGTACACTGCACGCTGCAGCGTATTCAACAGAATCCATTCATCTAAGAAGAACACCATTTTTCACTGACCTAAACAAGGGCAATAATGTGGAGATGCGGTACAAGTTTAAGGGATCCCCTTTAAATACTGTAGCTTTTCTTCTCAGTAGTAAATAACCCTCTCACTGGGTTTCTATTTGTTTTTTTTTTTTTATTTTTATTTTTATTGTTTCTCTGCATTTTGTTTAAGATGTTTTTTTTTTTTTTTTATAATGTTTTTGTACATCCGACGCCATCAAAGAAAAGAAAAAAAAACGTAGACACATAGGTAAGTATTAGACATGTCTGTTTATAATAATAATTATTATTTTTGTTATTATTATTACTACTACTACTACTACTTTTTTTAATTATTATTTTTTTTTATCCCTGTGACTTTGTTCTCATTTCCTGGTGTATCTATGTGTTTTCTTCTCTTTTCTTCTTTTCTCAACAGGTATAGTAAGGGAAGTGTTAACATGCAGCAACTCACTTACCAACTCATGGCAGCCGTTGTTGCCAGTAAACTCAAAGGTCATCTGCGTGAAACACACATCTTTGATGTACGTGAGCCGCAAGAGGTGAAGGCTAGTGGAGCGATTCCTCTCTCAATTAATGTACCACTAGACCTGCTGGAGAAGGCGTTGGAGAGAGAACAGGAATTTTTTCTTCGAAGCTTTGATGCCCCTAAGCCACCGCCCAGTGACACCTTGATAATGTACTGCAAGAAAGGTACTCGCGCAGAGAAGGCAGCAGATATTGCGCTGCGATGTGGATATAAAAAAACCAAAGTCTACCCTGGAGGTTGGGATGAGTGGTCAAGGCTCACAAAGGAGTAAACACAAGATGTGGCAGTACTACTCTTTTCTTCCTCAACCTCTCTCAATCCTGCATTTGTCAATTAAACCGGATATGAAAGCGAAGGAGTTACACAGAAAAAAATGTCAGGGATATATTATTATTAGTCTTTTTTTTTTGCTTTTTGCTTTTTTTTATTTTTGCTTTTTTTTTTT